CCCCCCCCCCCCCCCCCCCTTTTTTTTTTTTTTTTTTTTTTTTTTTTTTCCCCAAACCCCGACCGACCCATTCCTTCCTTGCCCAGACCCCCTTTCCTATCTCTTTCCTATGGTTCTCACCGACCACCCCAACGTCGACCGATCCTTACGAACACTGACCGACCATCCTGAACGCCGACCCGACCCTCTCGAACGCCGACCGACCAACTCCAACGCCGACCGACCATTTCCACCGACCCTCTGAACGCCGACCCGACCAAAACGCCCACGCCTCCAGACCACGACTGAAATGACATCACAAAACTGCTATTCTTCCTCAACTAAGACGGCTATTTCCAGAACTCAAGTCGACGAGGCAACGGAATCTGCTCTCCCTCAGGTTTTATTCTTGTTTTATTTTTTTAATTACATTTTTGCAAGAACAAAACTTAATATAAGAAAAAACAAAGAATATACATTACTGTAGTGTGTGTCACGATCGGTTCTAGGTCAGTTTCGGTCGGTTCTAAGTCGGTTCAGTCATGCTCGTTCTAGGTCGGTTCATGGTCGGTTGTAGGTCGGTTCTATGTCGGTTTAAGGTCGGTTCTTAGAGGGTTCGGTTCTTGGTCGGTTCTTGTCGGGTTTGGGGTTGGTTCTAGTCGATTTGGTCGGTTCTAGTTGGGAAGGTCGGTTCTTGGTCGGTTCGGTCGGGTCTTGGTCGGTTCGGTCAGTTTTGGTCGGTTCTATCGTCAGTTCGGTCGGGTTTGGTCAGATTTTGGTTGGTTCGGTCGGTTCTATTCGGTTTGGTCTGTTCTAAGTTGTTCGGTCAGTTCTAGGTCGTGGATTGTCGGTTCTGGATCGATTCTAGGTCGGTTCGGTTGGTTATAGTCGGTTCAAGATCGATTCTTGGTCTATTTTGGTCGGTTTTGTCATTTTGGTCAGTTCTGACCGATGTGTTTTTTTTTTTTTTCAGTATGACCTCCCGAAGTATAACACATATGAACTTCCTGGGATTAGACAGCTAAGGATGATCATGGATCCTATGCATGAGTACTTCCCAGTGAAAGTCACTATGAAGTCAAAGATCGAGGCCTTAGAGGTAATAAGGCATAATTTAGACCCTGAAACGGAAATGCCAATTTTCAAGGAATCTGCCTTAGGACATTTGATTTTGATGTATGAAAATATGATCTATTTTGGAGTGTTGACACGCTATCTGCTTTTGAGGCAGATAGAAACAGAAAAGAGACATGAGTTGTGGTTCATGGTTAATGGAAAGCCAATTAGGTTCGGAATGAGGGAATTTGGTTTAATCACTGGATTGAATTACGGGGAAATCTCAGAGCCGGACGTGGTGTTGAAAGCTTCGAAGAACATAAGATTGTTGGAGCATATTAAGGCCCACGTAGTACTTGCTGCTGATTTAAAGAAATTGCTCACAGAGAACAAGATAAAAGGTAGCGATAAAGCAAAGATTGCTATCATTTACTTTTTAGCACAAGTATTACTATCTGGAGACGAGAAGAAGACCGTCCCACTGGATTGGCTGTCGTACGTCGACGATTTAGATTTCTTTAACAGCTATCCATAGGGCAGGGTGTCTTTTGAATGCACTCAGCGGTCTTTGAGGAAGAACCTGGAAGAGAAATTCTAGAAATGGGTTCGGAAAGGGCGTAATAAGAGCATCAAGGAAACCTACTCAATATGCGGATTTCCTTGGGCCTTCCAAGTATGTCGTACAGTTATATGCATAATTTTTAATCATGGCCTTATGGTAAATAATACATTATTTTTTATTTTACTAGACTTAAAAAAATTTATTTAACGCAGGTTTGGGCATTCGAATCCAACCATCGGCGCCAAGTTTGCAAAGATGGTTGATGGACGTCTTCCCAGAATCCTCAAATGGGAGGTACATCGGGTTTCATTGGTAGAGGCTGGATAGATAGACGACCTTATGCAAAGTGGTGAGGTAAGAGTTTGAATACAATGTGTTTATAGGTATTTTTTTTTTTACAAAGTAGGCATATTTATTTTTTTTACAATATGTTTCCACCTAAATAATCATTGAATGCATGTTCTTTTAATATACAAGGAATGATCGTACCAATTCTTTATCCCACTGAGGAGGAAATGAGTAGTATGTGCATGAGGTTGTATCCGCCTTATGTCGACCAAGAAGATGTAGAGATTGACCAACTTGCATTGTTTTTGGACTCTGGTGCAAGAATGGTCCATGTCCAGCAATCGAAGCCTCCCAAACAATATTCTCGTCTCCAACAACTTCCCTAACAACAACAACAACAACAAATACAACAACAACAACAACAACAACAACCTCATCGGCATGATGGTATGTCTATTGATTACATACTTGACATACTCTATCAGAGGATGGTAGAGTACAATGTAGACAGTTTGAAGCCATCAACAAGAGGTTAGACTCACTAGACTAATCTGTTAGAAAAATAAAGGACAATATAACATGTATAGCAAAACAACAGTTACAGCCACAGCCACAACCAGAGCTTGAGGAACAACTTGAGCCACAGGTTTAGCAAGAGCCTGAGGAACAACTTGAGCCACAGGTTCAGTCAGAGCCAGAGTCTGAATCCATGAATGAAAAGTGACTTAAAAGGCCCAGCAAGTATTTTGAGTCGCCTTACACAGATCCCTTGCGTAAGGTGATGAAGAAGATGTGAACCTATAAAGATGCTATCGAGGCCTTCAAAAAGTGGTTTACTGATACTAGTACAGACTCTGAGCTAAAGAGTGCAGTTTTGGTGATTGGAAGAAGGACTTCTTCCGGATCATCTTGAAGCCAAGTGAATGGCTGTTCAATGAAGTAAGTAATCACAACATATTTTTTAAATTTATAGTCTTATTTTTTATACCATTATCATTATACTAAATTTATTTTTTATGACTTACAACAAATTGACGAGGCATGGGTTCTTCTATCTATGAGAAGGTAACGGGCCAATGAAGGAGAGTTCATTAACGATATTAGCATCCTAGATGATGTATTTTGCCAGAAATTGAGAGGGTGATTCATCTCTAACAAATCAAAATTGACAGCGTATACATTTGACAACGACTTGGATGAATATGTATGGGGAAAAAAATGCGTAATTGGAAAGAAATGGGATGGCGCGCAAGGCTTCACTATGCCTATTAACATTAAGCATAAGCATTGGGTTGCGCTTTATGTTGATTTATTTGAAATCAACATAAAGGTGTATGACTCAGCTGTTATGATGTACAGAGATCAACAGATGTAAAAATATGTGGAGCCAATCTCTGTCATGATGCCCAAGTTCTTGAAGTACACATGTTTATTTAACCATCTGGGCATAAACTTGATACTGCGTGGCCAATCGTTTGTCCTGAGTGGTTGGTCCACAACCTAAGAACAAGTGATTGCGAACTTTTCACATACAAATTTATTGAATACCTTGTCCGTAAAATCCCGTTAGAAGAACTCGCTGAAGAACAAGTAGAAGCTTACCGGTTGGAACTTGCGGTCGGAATTTGGAGCGAGTACAAGCTTAAAAGGCCTGTGAGTAGTATATAAAATGTTGTTTTGCTTGTTGTAAAATGTATACAAAACATTATTGGCGTTGCAATGTTTTTATTATTGGCGTTGCAATGTTTTTACACTTGTTATATTCAACATGTTATTTTGGCTTTGGGGAAGCTTATAATTATGGGAAAATGCTACCCAAATTTTTAGACCATGATGTTTTTTTTTTTTTTTAGAAAGATTCAAAGAAGTCCCGAAGATTGGAGAAACATTTAATTTATAAAAGAGAAAAAAAATTTGGTCAAAAATGGAAAAACCAAGAACATACCAAAACAGACAAATAACCGACCGAACAGAACAAAACGGATTAAGAACATAGCAACAACCGATCGAACAGAACAAGAACAGACTAAGAACTGACCGACCAGACCAATAACTGACCGAACAGACCAAGAACAGACGACCAGACCAATAACCGACCAAACAGACCAAGAACCGACTGACCAGACCAAGAACCGACTGAACAGACTAAGAACATACCAAGAACTGACCACCAGACCAAGAACAAACCATTAACTGACTGAACAGACTAAGAACCGACCGACCAGACCAAGAACAGACCATTAACCGACCGAACAGACCAAGAACCGACCGACCAGACCAAGAACAAACCAATAACAGAATAATAACAAACTCTAATAAAATATTAAAAACATACATTTTTACATATTTTTTGAGTTTTGGGTATTAATAACCATTGTAATTTATAAAAGAGAAAACAAAATTGGTAAAAATGAAAAAACTAGGAATAGACCACGAACCGACAACACTTGACCAAAAATATACAATAATGTTTTTTTTTGGAAAGCTTCGAACTAGTCCTGAAGATTGGAGAGACATTTAATTTATAAAAGAGAAAAAAAATTGGTAAAAAAAGAAAAAACCAAGAACAAACCAAGATGTTATTGGTATGTTCTTGGTTTTTTATTTTTTTACCAATTTTTTTTTCTTTTATAAATTAAATGTCTCTCCAATCTTCGGGACTAGTTCGAAGCTTTTCGAAAAAAAACATCACTGTATATTCTTGGTCAAGTGTTGTTGGTTCGTGGTCTGTTCTTGGTCTGTTATTAGTTTTTTCATTTTTTACCAATTTTTTTTCTCTTTTATAAATTACAATGGTTATTAATACCCAAAAAATAAAAAAATATGTAAAAATGTATGTTTTTAATATTTTATTAGAGTTTATTATTGGTCTGGTCGGTCGGTTCTTGGTCTGTTCTTGGTCTGGTCGGTCGGTTCTTGGTCTGTTCTTGGTCTGGTCGGTCGGTTCTTGGACTGTTCGTTTGGTTAATGGTCTGTTCTTGGTATGTTTTGTTGGTTATTGATTTGTTCTTGGTATGTTTTGGCATGTCTTGGTTTTTCCATTTTTTACCAATTTTTTTTTCTCTTTTATAAATTAAATGTTTCTCCAATCTTCGGGACTGGTTCGAAGTTTTCTAAAAAAAAAAAAACATCATGGCCTTTAAATTTGGCAAGTATTTCCCCAGAAATATAAGCTTCCCCAAAGCCACAATAACCTGTTGAATATAATAAGTGTAAATACAATGCAACGCCAAATTTTTTTTTTTCATGAGTACATCGGTGCGTTTTTACATTTCTTCTAATAGTGTCCATATTGCCCACACCTAGCACATCGGTTCTGCCTTCGTGTGAACTCACCTATGCTGGGAATACGTTTTTGCTTTGGCCTACCCCTTTTTGGTACAACTCATGATGGAAGAAGGTGAACTTCCTTTACGTCATTCGGAATATCCCATTGCGAAGTATCCGGCACATGATAGATTGTCTCAGCATACGCAAGAGCCCAAACTTCTGTTCTGTAGTATTTTGAGTATAAATCATAGCGAGATATTCCTTCTTCTCTACAACATGATATTGCATACTCGCATGGTATCTGCTCAAGGTCGAACACACGACAAGTGCAACTCCTCACTCCAATGTTGACAATAGCAGTGGTATATCCACCTGTCACTTGGAACTCAACAGTATTAAGTCTTGTGGCCGTTAGAAATCCCGCTTTGTTGTGCTTCTCACGAAGAGTTTTTTCCACACTTGGCGATAATAATGTTTTAGTTTTAGAAGCTTCGACCCACCTGTTATTAAACCACTCTGACATCTTCGCTTGTATAAAATTAAAGAGGGCAATAACAGGGTAATCTCGAACAACTTTGAGCATTGCATTAACTGACGCAGACATGTTTGTGGTTATAATATTATATCAATTTCCTTTAAAATGAGCACGAGACAACATTTCAAAACGAACCTGCTCCTATAAGTATCTGGCAATACTGGGATATCTTGCAGACTACTCATCAAACAAGACAGAAAACTCATCAATGTGGTAGGCCTCAACGGTTTTAAAGAATAATGGCAGAACACCGCTACATTTGAAATTATGCTTGATGTTTTGCGACATATGCTATGTGCAACAACCGTGATGTGTTAATGTATAAACTGTAGATAATACATTACTTATACTTTGATTCCTATCAGAAATAAAAACTAATTCCTCAGAATCAGTGATAATTTCCTTCAAGTTCGAGAAGAACCATGTCCAGGATGCATCATTCTCTGAGTCTACAATGGCCCATGCGATGGGATAACAATGACGTTCACTATCCTGTACAATGGCAACTAACAATATACCTTCTGAATTTTCCCTTTAACCACGTTCCATCAACACTGATAACTTTCCTCATGTAACCAAAACCTCGTATACAAGGTCCATATGCTAGGAAAAGATAGATAAAACAGTTATGGTCATCAAAATAAATATTGGTGATACTATCGTGATTAGTAAGAGACACCATATAAAAGTATGATGGGAGCTTAGTGAAGCTTTCTTCGGCCGTACCTCTTACGAGTTGAAGTGCGTGCTCACGAGCCTTCCATGCTTTGTAATAACTGAAGTCCGTCCTAAATTCATCACGAGTATATTTCTGAATTGATTTGGAAACCAGACCCAGTTTGACGCCTATAAATTGGTTTTTCATGCAACTTCCAATACCGGAGTACGTTGCTTGCCTGTGCTTCACCGAATGCTTTTCTAACGAGCAAGAGTGAACACCATTATACTTGCGGATTACAAACATGTTCGATAGTCTCAGTTTGCAGGCTCGGATACGCCACACACATTTTGGATCCACACACTCTACTACAAACATGTCTTTATTTGATTTTGTTGTTCGAAACTCAAAGTTCCCCTTTAAAGCAATTAAATGCAGCTTTTCCTTTAAATCATTCTTACTTGAAAAGTACTGACCAACTTCTAAACTAGATCTGTCACTAAAGGTAGATCCATGAGATGATCCAAACTCACTCTGGTCGATACAAATTAAAGGACCAGCAACTTCTACTTCATTTAAAATGGCAAGTGGTTGTGGCTCTAGCTGTGGTTGTGACTCTGGTTGTGGCTCTAGTTGTGGCTGTGACTCTGGTTGTGGTTGCGACTGTGGTGGAATATCATTACGAGTCGAAAACTCATCTGTAGCTATAATACCCATAAAATCACAATAAAAAAAATCGTCATGCAAAGGATTTCTCCTAATTTTGACTCCATCAATATGTTCTTCTGGATTCATAAATTTCTCATCCACTATCACGTGTAGTGGTACCTCGTGGGTTATATCCCTGAAGAATAACAAATCATCATTGTCTTTTATTACAATGGGCAATGATTTCTGTTTCAAATTTGGTACCCACGATAACTGCAAGAAATGTTTTTGTCCATCAATTCCACATTTTTTACTAATCTTATCAACGAAGGTTTCGAGAGTATCCTTCTCATCCATATATACGCCAATTAAATTACAGTCTGTATGCCACACCCAACAACTTTCATTCTCCTCCCATTTTCCTCCAGTGTAAAAAAAAATCCTCCACGGAGGCATTATTTAGATTTTAAAACTGTAAAAATTAAATCAAGATAATAATATGTCATTAAACCAAATCAAATATCTCACGAACAGACTAAAAACATACCATATAATAAGAACAAACCAAGAACAGACCAAGAACAAACCAAGAACCGACTGTGCAATAAGAACATACTAAAAACTGACAGTGCAATAAGAACAGACCAAGAACAGACTAAGAACCGACCGTGCAATAAGAACAGACCAAGAACAGACCACGAACCGACTATGTAATAAGAACAGATTAAGAACCGACCGTGCAATAAGAACAAACCAAGAACAGATCACGAACCGACCATGTAATAAGAACAGACCAAGAACAAACCAAGAACAGACCACAAATTGACCATGTAATGAGAACAGACCAAGAACGGACCACGAACCGACCATGTATAAGAACAGACCAAGAACAGACTACGAACCGACCATGTTATAAGAACAGACCAAGAACAGACCAAGAACAGACCACGAACCGACGAAGAACAAATATATTTTTTTCTAAACCCAACAGATCTTCATCATATCAGACAATGTAAACTGCTCTTTTACCATGTAAAATTACTATTTTAATGAATTTTTAACATTTTTAATTACATTTTCATCTTAAAAACATATGAACAACAACGAAAACACCATGAGAGATATAGAAAAAGAAAGACTTACTTAGTAGCTATTCTTCAAACTTCATTTTGGACGAGAAAAAAACGCTGAATGGGCAAGATAATAATGTTAATGAGGTTATGTGACGACGATGACTTGAGAAGAAGAGAGAAGAAATGGAAGACGGTTGGGAGAAGAAAATGGCGCGAAATGGAAGAGGAGGAGGAGAAAGAAATCCCTAAAAGCACAATTGATGACGTGAAATAGCTGATGTGGAAGTTGGCCTATTTACTCAATTTATTTTTTTTGTGATTTATTTACTTAAAAACACTTTTTACTTAGTCTATTTATACAAAGGGCCCCTTTCTTTCTTTTGTCTGGTCACTCGGCTTTGTGGCATCCAAGGGTCTCTGAGAGTTTTTGACTTCCTTTTGTATAAAATTTGTTAAGGCTCATTTGGCCAAAAAAAAAAAAAAACAAAAGAGGTTGGGGAAGGACAAATACCTCTTCCTTTTGATTAATATCTTTCTTACTCAAACAATTATATTAAAAAAATATTAATTAAGAATAAACAGTAAAAATTTATATTCATACACTCTAAAGGTAAATTAAATAATTTTCTCTGTTTTTTTTAACACGTGGAGCTTCAAATATGAGTGAGATCAAATGAGCCAACCTAAAGATTATTGGTATGGTCCCTGTCTTGACCCGGCACGCTTTGGTGCCCGAACTGGGCTGATAGTTTAAGGATAAAAGTATTTTAAGACTATTTTTAATTTTCTTTTTAATTACCCTTGAAATGTTCATGCCGACAAGGCTCGGTCTTAGCCCATCAGGGATCCAAAGCAAGACATGGCCTTCATCCCTCCTTTTAAGGTTAGTCCGACCTAGTCCGGTTAAAATATCAAGCGGGTCGGAAACACTTTTTAGATTGTTGGGTGTAGATTAGGCTCCAAACTTTCACCACTAAAAATACGTTTGGTGGCGTGTTGTTTTTGTTTTTTGTTTTTTAACTGTGATTCTTTTTTTTTTTTAAAAAATTGGAAACAAAAATTTTTTCCTTTCAAATTACTGTCAAACAAATATCTTTAAGTTATGATTACTACTAAAACTGAGGTTGCCAACAGGTTAGAATTGGAATTCATATCGGGGTTGAGACCATCATCACGACCAGCATTAGGGTCATAAACAAACATCATAGGTTTTAAAAATTGGAATTCGGAGGAATTACACATTTGATATGGTTGTGTTACATGTTTTGAGTTTGCATTTCATACTTTGATATGCGTTAATTTCCTTGTTGTTTAAGGACGGACTCACATAATATTTTAATCACTCACTTCGTTATCAAATTGAGTGAAAGTTCTTATTTAACTACAATTATATATCAGAGAAATACTAAAATCACTTTTTTTATCACTCTCTACATTTATTATTTGACACATAAACTTTATTAATGTGATATATTAAAAAAAGTATACACTGTTTATTTCACAACTCAAGTTTTATTTCTATAATGTTTTCTTTCACAAAAAATCAAATTCAACTCTTTTACTACAATGTTTTTTTTTTACATACATAACTCAAGTTATAACTCAAATTATAACTTGAGTTGTGAAATGAACGTTTCCCAACCCTACATGGAATAACGTGCAACAATTACAATGGATAATTTTTTTTAATGATTACTATGGACAATATTCAGAGAAACAAAGAAAAAAATTGGATCCAATACAACCTTAGTAGTTATTATCAAGGGTTAGCATTTAGAACACCCAATTTGAAGTAAGAATGCTTGAGTGCTTCTTCAACAGTAATCCTTCTACTTGGATTCGGACACAACATTCTCTGTCAATTGAAAAAAATAAAAAAATAAAAAATAAATAAAAGTCAAAGAGCCTAATTAGTTAAGCAATACTAGTCTACGTAGAAAAAAAACAAAACAAATGCATGTCTAATAAAATTACAAGATATATTAATAATTCACAAATTAAGAACCAAACTTACGGAAAGAAGATCAATCCCGGCTGGTTTAAAATCAGGAATTATTTTTTCAAGGTTCCGAGTGATCCTAAAAGTTGTCTCCTGATCTTCGGAGGCAGGCCCAGGCCCATTTTCTCCAGGTGGGTCAGTGGTGTAACTATCAAAACTACCCACGAGCCTGTATATTACATAAATAATATAAAACAAAAATATACTTTCGGTAACACATTGTGATATGAACTAGCAAATTTAGCCTTGTTATTAGACGTGACATATGATATTCTGTCAAAGAAAAGGACAAATAATCAAAAGATAATATTATAAACCTGGAAATGCTGACAATTTCATGATACTTGGTTTTAGCATCGAACAGAGGTTTTCTGGTTAGCATTTCAGCAAATATGCAGCCAACAGAGAACATATCCGTAGCTGGAGTTATTTCAGCGGAGGGATCACAGAGAAGTTCAGGTGCCTTGTAAGAAGGAGTTATAATCTGCACCAAAAAAAAAGCCAGAAAAATAGTTACACGTTCGTTCATACATGCATACATACATATATTAGGGGGCGGAGTCACAAAAATGAGTCAGAATAGACAGAAAATTTCAAATATTAAATTGAAAGAAAAGAAAATTTCAGATAAGACGGCTCCCTACTATAATTCGCTTCACATACATAGTATATATATATGTACGTACATGCGTGTGTGTATTATTTACCAAGGTGTTTGTACATATATGTACGTACATGCGTGTGTGTATTATTTACCAAGGTGTTTGTAAAGAAAAGAGGTTAAAGTTTAAAAAGTTAATAATAAGAGAGAGAAGAAAAATTACCCAATCAAGGTCCGTAAGCTTCACAGTGAGATTAGTGCGGTCGAGTAGCACGTTGGTAGGATTTAGATTTCCATGTGCAAAGTTAATAGAATGGTAACAATAGAGGCCACGAAGAATTTGTTCCAAGGTATTCTGCATTAATATTATATCATAGATTCATATCATATCACGTTTCATTAATATAGTACATCATAAACTTATAACATACGTCCACATATATACAAGTAACATTTACCTAGACAATAATTTAGTCCTAAATTCAATGCATTAAAATTGTAATTTATAAGATCCTATGATCTCACTCTTATAAACCTTCGATTGGTGGCTCTCACTGGATTGACTTGGATGAGCGATTTTAGATCCGTATCCGCATACTCAAGCATGAGATGAATACGACATAATCTCTCGTCGTATATTATATCAAGTAACCTATTTCATTTGCAGAGTATTTTAAATGCATGCTTAGCAGAGTGATTAATAACAAAGAGACTAATTAATTACATAATAGGAGGTTTTCATGTGCTTCACAATGTTGGGAAAGATGAAATTTTCGTTGCATATATCTTTAATGCCATCACCATTATTATTTAGACCGATCATCATTGTTTTTTCTTATTAAATAATAATAAAATAAAGGGTGTTTCTATGACATGTAAGAACTATTAAAAAAGATAAACAAAAAAAGTAATCACATCATGAATGTCTTTTAATTATTTTTTCAATGAAACACTATTCAAGATCTTTTCAAACTTAAATTACAGCTCAAGTTCATTTATTACAGTGTTTTCTCTCACAAAAATTTAAATTTAATTTTTTTATTACAGTTTTTTCTCTCACATAAAAAATATGAGTTATGACTTGAGTTGTTAAAACAACGCAACAACTCTAATCACATCACAGAATTATATACATATGTATATGTGTATATATACACATATATAAAATTAAAATGGTAAAAATAGGGGATTGACCTGGCAACATTTTGATGCTCAATCTCTTTGAGAAGGGAGATTTTTCTGAGTGTCATGCATGGAACACCAAAATCATCACTTGATTGCATAACGAGAGTCTTTACAGCTACCACATTGCCAATCTCCATGTGGCGATACTTGTATTGAACTGGCCGATTGTTCTCTTTCCATCCTATATTTTCAAGCCTTTCGTACTGCACAAAATTTACCACATTATGAACAACTTAATCCGTGAAAATAAAAAAGAAAAAAAAAACTAATAACAAAATATATAAGAATATTAATTTTAACTACCCTGTCCATTCTTTGGGTAATTGGAACTCAAACTTTCCTTACCAACCCAAAAAAGAATGTCATCATTTATGATCAATGAGATAAAACTGATCGGATTTTCTGAAGTTTATGACAATTAATCAGATAAAATAAAAAACAAAGAAGCTTTACGGAACTGAAGAGGAAACATTGTATTAAGCAGAAGCCTCTTATATATATGTTTGTCTCCGAATTTAGTTTATTACAAAAAGAAAAAAATAGGAAAATGTGAAGAGAGAACTAAAAAGCTAAAGATAATTAAAAAGCTAAAGAGGATAATTTTGATAAATACTTTCATGATTTTTACTTTTTATTCTTAATTAATAATCTTTTTAGTTAAATAATTACACTAATAAAAGAATATTTATTAAGAATAAAGGATAAAAATTCAAACTCATGCATTCTCAATAGTAAATTCTCTATTTTTTTAAGTTTTTTATTTTTTTATTTTTTTTTATTTTTTCAGAGTAAACGCTGGCTCAGGGGGCAAGGCCCTAAGGCCCCCTTAGTCAAAGGTCCTTATTATTAGGATCATTAACTAACTACTTCTACACCTCATTCTTCTTTTACCCTTAATTAATTACCTTTACATTTCAAAATATTAAACATATTAATTTGGATTCTTTTTCTTGAAAAAAAAATCGTATTTCTTAGGTTTTAGTTTAATTCTGCAAAACTCATTAAGAAGAATTAGTATTAAAAGAAGTTTGTTACTCAATATTAAATGTTAATATTTATTCTTTTTGTTCCTTCTTCTAACAATTTCTATGTCACGATTCGTGGTATATAGATTTAATCGGTTGAAAAACAATATAAAATCACTTGATTTTTCTATAGCTGCTAAACACATGCACTTAATTTTTATTCTTACAATTGAGGTCCCGTTTATTACACCGATTCAAGTTTAGAATTCGAGTTTTGTTACAATAAAAAGCTCTTAGAAATAGTCACATTTAACTTTTTTGCTACAGAAAAAAGCTATCACATAAAATCACATCTCAACTCGAATTAAAAATTTAAATCAACAAACTAAACAGGTCCTGAATAATTTCCTTGTAATGTTGTTCTTCATCGCGTCCTCTCCCAAAAAAAGTTCTCTTGAGGAGTTTGAAAAAATAAAGAATAATAATTTAATATTTAATTATTTGTTCTTAATTTCATTTTACTATTTTCTTTACTGTCAATTTATCTTATTGTATTGGCGGTTGTCATTATTAATAGGAATTCTCGTTATATTAGGGTTTTTATTACATGTCTTATAAGATATAATGTGGCACGAGGGACGAACTTACAAAAAATTATAATAAAGATGGGAAAAACAAATTGAATCAATCAAAATAGATCTTTAATACATTTTTAAAAAAATTGTAGAAAATACACAAGTACAAGTATTAAGAAATAGAGGTATTGAGCACATTTACGCCTTAAACTTTTCAGGTTTAGGCAACTTATGCCATAGCTTAAAATTATAGGCCTCAATGCAAGCAATTTAGCAAGTTGAAGGGGTTGGATGAATTGTCAAAAAAGAAATTTGGATAGCATTGTCAAAATTCAAAATTTTGAGGGGGTAAAAGAACCAAAAACTTTACTAATTGAGTCGCACATCACACACAAAACATGATTCATAATAATAATTCTTTACAAGGCCATATTGAAAAAGATGCAAGTGTAATTATTCAAAACACCTATTTAAATGTTGCTTAAGACTTGTAATAATGTTGAGCCAGCTCTGAGCATACAAAGAAAAGAAAATCTAATTAGAACTATCAAAATTCACGAAATAAAAAAGAAAAAAGAAAAGAAAAACACAAGAAAAGTTAACTAATTAATCTGGGCAAAACCTATTTATATTAGAGTGAAAAAAGGGAAATTGTGTAAGGTTACTAGGAAAATTTTGAGGAAACTAATGAAATGAAGCCAAAAGTGGTTGAAGAGATATTTTCCTCCCTTATTTTCCTTCCATTTCAAGCATCTTTTCACGGGAAACATACTGCAAAGAGTTAAATTCATTAGTAGTCTCTTATTTTTTTTCCTTTTATAATTAGCCTTAAATTGTTTTAATATTTCAAATTTAGTCTCTCAATTACATTATGTTAAATTTTGAATGTAAATGTTAGGTAATTTTGTAAATTTTACCTCGAAAGATGGACAATCTCGTAATTTGAAAATAAATAACCCAAAACATAAAATTGATCGAACCACCCATTCGGGTGTGCAAACCCTAAAACTCAAAATAAGAATTTTGCTGTATATTGTTTGTTGTTGGCTATTGTTTATGCTGTGTAGCAGTAGTAGGTTTTTTTTTTTTTTTAACACTTAACTCAAAATAGTAATAAATTTGTTGTACATGCTCTTTCTATTGTCTAATATTATGTTCTGGGTACTAGTGGATTTTTTTTAAGAGTATAGTGTGATAATGGATTTTTTTTTTTTTTGGGAGAAAAGCTTGACCAAACCTGATTATGAACAGGTTCTTTAGGGTTTTTTTTTTTTTTTTTTTTTTTTTTTTTTTTTTTTTTTTTTTTGTGGGGGGTGGGGGAGAGAATTATGGACAGGTGTTCTCATAGTCTTTTTGTTTGGAGAAAAATGTGATTATGGACAAGTTTTTTAAGTGTGTTTGTTTTATAACTCAAGTTGAGAAATTAAGTTGCGTATGTGAGAGAAAAATACTTAAATAAAAAAAATTGAATTTAAATTTTTATGAGAGAAAAAATAATAGTTAAGTTGTGACTTGAGTTGTGAAAAAAACAAGCAGTTAATCTTTTTTGTTTTAGAATAAAATGTGATTATGGACTTTTCATTGATTAATTTTATCGTATGAAGTGTTTATCAAATGTATTAGAGTTTGAATGTTTCTTTTTGCAAGAAATAGAGGGAAAGAGTATTTACTCATTTGTTTATAACTTAACTACTAATATGTATAACATTTTCCATTTAAATTTTAACAGAATGTAATTGAGGGATTAAATTTGAGATATTAAAAAAAGTTCAGGATTTAAGTTGGAATACCTTTTAATACGAGAACTAATTATAAAAAAGAGAAAAGAGTTCAGAGAGATATGATGAATTTAACTCTTCTACACAAGATACAACGAGAAATGCACTGATCAAAGAAAAATAAATAGTTAAACATACGAAAAATAATGCATTATTTACATCAATCTAAATAATGCATTATTTAATGCATTTTGTACAAGTGGTGATCTAATGTATTATTTAAATCAATCTACTGGAAATGAAAAATTATCTTATCTCTAATACAATGCTATAATTAATGTGCCAATTATAAATTTAACATTTGAATATAAAAAATACTTTCTAATACATTATTATTTATTGTGCTAAATTTTTCATACACTATACTTTGCGGTAAATTTCCCATCAAGTATTGCATATGAGAAATTTGACATTTGATTACTATTGGTTGAAATGTTTACATCCGCGTTTGTTTCATTAGTTTAGTTCAGTTCCACTCAGTTTAAACGGTGAGCACAGTTTGAACTGGTGTTTGGTAAGCATGTAGTTTGAATTATATTTTCTGTTTGAACTGAGTTGAACGGTCCAACTTAGAGTTTAGTTCCCTCTCAAGTTCAACCGTTCAAACCATTTTTAAACACTAAAAAGGTGTCCACTCTCTCTGCTTTTCACACCTACTAAACACAAATTTAAATTTTATTCCCTGTTCAAATTAAAACTTTAACTACACATGTAAACGTCAATTCAAACTATAATTTAAACCACACCGTTTTAATATTTATGTCCAAATCAAAAGTTTAAATCAATAAAATTCAAACTAGCGAACTAAACGAGGGCAACTTTTTTCATGTAGTTGCATTTTTTACATTTTCTAATTATTTTAAAAATAAAAGTTTACTTTTACAATTTTTAAAACTTAATAATTATAAGAAAAAAATAAATTTAACATTTTAAATAGCATTACTATTAGAACAAAAATGAAAATAATATAGCATATCATATTTTTTGATGGTAAATATATCATTAATATTAACATTTGTATTGAAGATGATCTTAACATTAGCATTGTATTAGAGATTGTCAAAGTTATTAAAAAAATAATATAAATATACCAATTGTATTAATATTTATATTAAAGTTAGTCTTAGCATTAGCATTTGTTTAGGAGATTGTCTAAGTTATTAAAAAAAAATAATAACATACTATTACTAGCTTGCTCTTTACCAACCTACGATTGGAGCTAGAGACGACCAACTATTTTTGTTGAAAAGGAAAAATGATGTGATAAATTATCAAAAATAATTTATCGGGTGAACGTACAAAATGCACGTGGTTGAAATTAAAAGAAAAGTTTCAAATTCAACGACGACTTCTCCAAATTCAAAGATTTTTATCTTTTGAATTTCCATTTAAGAGGATTTCAAAGAGAAATTTTCATCAAGAAAAACTACTTTTTGGATTCATGAATTTACCCTGGATTTTGATGAAAGGGGGTTGCAATTATTTGTTGCTCCCTTGTAAGCAAACGAGACGTATTTGATTTTGATGTGTTGAATTAACTACTAGTTTTATAAGATTAAGAGGAGAGAGAGAGAGATGGGTTCACATGGGGACGAGGAATCCCTCTTGGAAGACGCCCTTCTTCAGGTTCCAACTCTTAAACATTTCTTGGTTATTTTAAGCTTGCTTCTTTAATGGGTTTGTTATCACTTGCAATGTAACTTCACTAAATATGTGTTGTAGTTGTACAAATCCTCTTTAATGGAAATTCAGAAAAAGAAATGCTCTTAAATGGTCAATAAAGTAGTTCTTTTATCTCTGCTCTGTTCTTGGCTTTAGTTTTCTTGTTTATTTGTGCAAAACTATTTAAATAAAGTCGTGATCGCATTAATATTGTAGAGAACACTATATGGTTTACATTTTGTGAACTTCTGCTTGTTTTGGGTTTCCTTAGGGTGGATCGGAAAGGAAACAAGAAAACAAAGGAAAAGAAAAAAAAAAAAAAAAGACTGAAA